CTGGGTAACCCAGGCTGAGTAGACGAGAGGTCCAGGCCTCCTTCTCCTGCTCCCGGGGTGACCCCCTTCCCACCCGCTCCGCCTCGCGTACAACCAGCGTCCCCAGAGGCTAGTGAGCGCACGCGCAGAGGAGAAGATGCAGAGGGGCATCAGGTATCAGGTTCCGTGTCCGGGCACCCAGCAGCCCGCAGCCACGGCGCCCAACCAAGCCGCGAACGGCAGCATGTTGAGGGGTCGCAGCAGCGGCAGCCGCTGGCCACAAGCTCCAGTAAGGCGGCTAAAGGCGCGTGCGGCTGCGGCCAAGTACAGGAGCGGCGCACACCGGCGCCGCACTCGCGTTAGAGCGGAGGTACCGCGATTCTTCCCAGTACTTCCGGTGAATTCCCGGTGCCGCCAGGGCCAGCCGGAAATTGAAGGGCACAAAGTACCGAGCCGGCTGGGGCCGGAACGTGGCTACGCCAGGCTCCACCATTAGAGGTCGGGGCCGGAAGGAGAAGTAGGGCGCCGCCATGACGGGTTGGGCCTAAAGGGAACTGGGCTGCCTGTCTGCTCTGCGACCGGGTAAATACGAGGCAAGGAGGGCTGGGCTGGGCGCCGCCATGACAACCTGATACCGGAAAAGGCGGGGCTATCCTCCCTCATTGATCCTCCTCCGGCATCGGCCTCAGGATGTGAGTAGCGGGATCCCCTACCCCGTAACTGCCCCCGTATTCTTTCTCTTCCCCAGTGATCTGGACTTAGGCCAGGACTCCGGGAAGAAGGATTGGCCACTCTGTTCCCTGGAGATCCCGAGCCTTAGGATTCAGCGCTGTCCTTCACGAGCCTCAGTTCTGCGCGTGTTCAGGCCCCGCTCTCTGAGCGTTTAGGCTCCGCCCCTCTTTCGGGTGATAACGGAGGACTTTCAGGTCCAGTCTCTCAACACCCCAAGCCTTGCCCCCCAAAACACCGGGTCTCGTCCCTCACCCTGCAACCCTACGACTCCAGACTTCTCCCAGGACCTCTAGGACTCTTAGAGCCGTCCTTTTAGAGCTCCAGGTTCCTCCCCCTGGATCATCTGACTTTTACCTTTTGGAACTTCCGGGTCTGTCGAGTATGTCAGATCTCACCTATAGGGCCCACAGACTTGTTCTTAGACACCACTGATCTCACGCTGGATTTCCAGACCTTGTTCCCAAGAACTTGAAGAGCCTATTTGTAGGACCCTCCAGATTTACCCTAGAGCCCCAGCCTCACCCAGGGCTTCCAGATCATGCCCCTAGGACCCTGAGACCCACCCCAGGACCCCCAAACCTGCCCCAGGGCCTCAAGTCTCCCTTTCAGTACCCCTGTCTTCAGGTCTCATCTCTAAGACCTTTGGTCCAGAGACCCTTCCCCAGGACCCAAGACCTCAACCCTTGGACCTCTAACCCTCACTTTTAGGGCCTTCGAACTCATTTAGGGCTCCCAGGTTCTCTCGGAAAACTCTAGGTGTTACTTCTAAGGCCCTAGGCCTTCTCTTCATGATTCCCAAGCCTAAACTGGGGGATGCCCAGACTCCCAGACCCTTCTTCCAGAACCTCCACAGACTGCCTTGGAATAATCAGACCTTTTTTTCAGGACCTCCACTATCTCCCCAGAAGCTTCCAGCCTGCTCCACAGCCCCCAAGGCTCATGCCTTACCTCTCTACCTCCCTGGCCCTATCCCAGGACCCTTCAGACTCTGAGATTTGCCCAAGACCCCATGGGGTGCCACCCCAGACTCAGATCAGAATTCCCTTTCTTGCCTACTGCCTGGAATTATCCTCAGACTGTCACGTCCCACAGGCAGGCGGCCCTGGAGATCACTGCTCGCTACTGTGGCCGGGAGCTGGAGCAGTATGGCCAGTGTGTGGCAGCCAAGCCTGAGTCATGGCAACGAGACTGTCACCACCTTAAGATGAGCATTGCTCAGTGCACGTCTGCCCAGTGAGTGTGGGCAAGTACGGGGCAGGTGGAGGGGGGGTAGGCAGTGGGGTGGAAATCTCCCCAGGCCTGAAATGCCCTGCTCCTGCAGCCCAGTCATCCGGCAGATCCGCCAGGCCTGTGCGGAGCCTTTTGAGGCCTTTGAGGAATGTCTTAGAAAGAACGAGGCAGCTGTGGGCAACTGTGCAGAACATGTGCGCCGCTTCCTGCAGTGTGCTGAGCAGGTGCAGCCGACACACACCTCCTCTACCGCAGAGGTAAGACAGCAGCTCAGCACTTCATCCCACCCTTTCATCTTCGTAGCTGCTCAGAGTAAAGACCTTGGAGTCAGCCTCAGCCCCACACAGACCTTTACCATGCATCCCGCTTCCAGAACATCAGCACGTGTTCCCCTCTTACCCATTCCATAGTCCCTGCTTTAGTCCAGCCGTCTCCTCCCCCGCCTCCACAGCCAAGGTACTTGCCCCAGCCTTCTCCCTGGTCTCCCTAAATCCCCTCTTACCTTGCCTCCATGTGGTGGCCAGAGAGAACATTTAGGAACTGAAAACTAGTCACATTACACCTTTGCTTAAAGCTCTTTGGTGACTCCTCATCCACACTGAGAACAAAATCCCAGGTTCCTGCTGCTTCTCTGTGTTCTTCCCCAGGCTGACCTGATCCACCTCCTCCCTTACCCACTCTCCCTTTCTCGTCCTCGTTGCCTCTCAGCTGTATGGGCAATGGGGGTAAGGATGGGGCAAAAAAGTCTTACCTGTTTTTAATGTATACAGTACCTAAACAGATATACACTATATCTATGGTATTAAAGTGTCATGGATGGGTGCAATTTTTTAAAAATGTCTAAAAAGACTCCTTGGGGGGGCAATAATTTTTTTAAAAAAAAGGTTGAGAAATGCTGGTTTAGATGTTTACTGTCTCTCCCACTGGCCTGCAAGCTCCGAAGGCAAAAGTCACATCTTTCACCAGATCCCTCTCTCAACCCCCTCCCATTTGCCCCTCCCTCGGTTCCTGGGGCCCCATCTTCTCTGTTCGCACCCAGAAGAGAAGCCTTCTCTTGGACCTCCATGCTGTCTGTCTTACCTCATTCAGTCTGTTCTCTGTGAAGGTCCCAGAGTGATCCCAAAGGAACTCTGACTGTGTACTGCTTCATGGCTCGCATTGACCAGGCCAGGTCTACACCCCAGCACAGCCTCTGGGGCCCTGCAGGACATGACCTCTGGCCCTGCCTCTACCCGACATCCACCTCAAGCTCTGTGTTTCCTGCCCCAGTCAACATGCAGCTACTCGAATGCCGGTCTCTCCTGCTGCCAGGCTTTTATCTCACTTTTCCTCTGCCTGGACTGCCCTTCCCATTCCATCTGGCTAATTCGTATCCCAGCTTCGATGTCACCTCCCCCAGAAAATCCCGTCATGGCCCGTCTCCATCCTCCCAAAATCCCTGAGCTCCCTCCACTATGGCTTATACTTTACTGCCTTGTGGCTGCTTCCCTCCCATCGCCTGTTTCAGAGGAGTTCTTGCCTAAAGACTGGGGAAATGCCCTTCTACCAGGCCCTGTAGACATTGGGTTTTGTTTTTTTAATAAGGCACAGATAAGTGAAAGGTTCAGGTTCCAAGAGCAGACACCAGTGAGACGGACTTTTAATTCTTTTCAGAAAATATTCAGTAATGATTGCATGCTGTTCACGCTAGTTTATTAATTATATTTTGGTGGTACTTCTTCCAAGTTTTTTGAGCATCTGAGCAAAGACCCCACCTTCCTATCTTAGGGCCAGTTGCTCCCTCCCTCCCGGAATGAGCAACCAAGGCTCTCCCTGGTCTTCCTGGGGTCAGCCCTGCCCTGCCTCCCTGCTACTCTCTGTCTCCCCGCTGGTAGCCAGAGGAGCTTTTAAAAACGGAAATGGGGTCACATCTGTCCCCTTTAAAGCCTGTGGTTTTCCAGCGCACTCAGAGTCATTAACCCCGCACCCAGGTCCTCCTGACTGCCTTCCCCTTCCCGGTAATGGCACCCCAGCTGCAGCTTTCCCTCTCCGATTGGGGACAGTGAAATTCAGGCCTCCTCTCTTCTCTGGTCTCCAAAATAGCAAACACACAGGCTCATCTCGTAAAACACGGTATAAAGACATGTCACGTTAGCGCGGCTGACGGCGTGAAGTGCCGCTTGTACCTCCCGCTCCACACACCTCTGCCCTTCACCCCGATGCAGTTTCCTTCATAGGATTTACCCGCTGACACGTTTTTGTTCATTTGTGTCTGTCCCTCCCTGGAGTCAGCGATGTGTGTCTGCTGCATCCACTGCTGGGTCCCTAGTACCTGTCACAGTGCTGGGCACACAGCAGGTGCTGTGTAAACCCAGCAGAATGCTGCCTTCCCTGCTCCCAGTGATGGCTCGCTGCACCCGAGGTCATCACCTGACACCCTCTCCCTCCAGGCTGTGAGCTCGGCAAGGGCAGCCTCTGCCGTGTCTACCTGATCTCGCCAGCAGTGGTCCCAGGGCCAGGCACACAAGAGGTGCTAGTAGATGTTGATGCGGCTTTTTTCTGCAGGCACAGCCACTTCCTGCCTCCTGAGGACCCTTCAGACCGTAGGAGAACTGGACATGAGTGACTGCGCTTGATGCCTCCACCCCTGAAGCATGGCCAGGTGGAGTCCTGAGGGCTGTGGACATGGGCCTGGCTTCCCTGGACATCAAGGCTCACAATAAATAAAGACTCTACAGGCTCTGGCTCCTGCCTTCAGCACCTGTGGGCCCTGTTCCCCAGCTTCACCTAGTGCGCCAAGGAGGGGCCTGGGGCCTGGGGCAAGCTGCTCTGTCTGTTCACCAGGGTTAAGGCGACCCCTCTTCCCCCTCAGCTCTGCCAACATCCATTTCCTGTCTCCTGCCGCACGGATACGGAGAAGGGCTCCTTCTCACCTTAACTGTAGCATTTACAAGTCTTCATTGAGTGTTTCCTTGAGGCTTAGGGGGCAATAAATAACACACCTCCTTCCCTCCTGAGTTCAGAACCAGTTGAGCAATAGACATGGGCATGAGGCAATGCAGGTGAAAACACTGGCTTTTGTATGGAAAACAGCTGCATTGACGGACGTGGCGTAGAGTTTGCTGCACTGGACTTCTCCTCTGTCTTGGTTTGCATCCTTCCAGAGTCCAACCCGGAGGATTTGAGTGCAGGTAGTATCTGGGGGCACGATTCCAGGAATACTCGTAGGGAAGTGGAGAGGTGTGACAGAGACGAAGGCAGCCAATAAAAGGTGCATCATCAAGCGGGTCACTGCTGTGGGCAGCTGAGGCTCAGCCCCACCTGGGACTTCTGGGAGGCGGCACAGAACATGCCTCAGTTCCCCCATCCCAGGGGCAAGGAAGTTGGGGTGTATGTGCACCAACTCCCCATCTGACACTGAGGGATGTTTTCATGGGCATTGACTGCCCTATGCGTGGTCGAGTGCCCTCCTGCCACCAAGAGAGGGCCCTGAGCAGAGAGCAGTGGGAAGTCAAGTGAGCAGCCTTCAGCACACAGGAGAGGGCGCTGAGTGGATCGGGTAGGTACCAGCAGTGGCCGCTGCAGCTTCTCAATGTTTCTCTGCAGGATTACAGGCTCCGTGGGCACAGCTGGTTGATCGTCTTCCTGCAGGGGAGGTCCTAAGGAGCAGAGGGTAGACAGGCAAGTATGCAGAGAGAGAGCCCAGAGCCTGCACCCAGCTTCACCATTCAGATAAGTTGCTCTTCCCTGGAGCGTAATCCAGACTTACAGAAACTGGAAGTGACTGGTCAGCGCTGGTCGGACTGGCCATTTGAAATCTAAGGCTTGTGCTCTGGCTTGGAAAAATGAGCTGGGAGTCTCTCCTGGGGATTTGACACCTAAAACAAAGGAACTTGTTGGTTAGCTTAGCAGCCAGGGTGGGAGTCCTATGCAGTCAGGGTTGCAGGGGCCCTTGGATGCCATGTGGCCCAAACAAGAAAACCCAGATTGTGGAGAGAGGGTTGTGATCAGTTCCTGTGGTCCCTGAAAGGGCTGCTTGGGTCCTGGTGGCTTTCTGTTCCCAGCTCCAGTTTCCTTGGGCTGTGGATTGAGCCCTCAGATTTCTGTGTATGTTTTCAGCCAACCTGTCTTTACTTGAGTAAGCTAGGGTGGGGTTCTCTCCATGTGACTGAAAGAAGTGATAAGAGCAGACAAAATGGAGGTGGAGACTACGTTTTAGAACATCTCTAACAGGGCTCTCTTCCACTAGGCTACACCAGCTTCCTTACGTGGTGGGTCTCGGGTTCACGAGAGCAAAAATGGAAACAAAGTCACTGCGTTCACCACATTCTACTAGTTGAAGTAAGTCATGAGGCCAACCCAGATTAAAGGCCCTGGAGACTCTGCCTCTTTTTTGGCGGGGAAGGGACTCCACCTCTTGATGGCGTTTGCCTGCAAAGAATTTTTGCCCATATTTACCCATAAAAACTTCATAGTTTCTATTCTTGCGTCTGTTTGGGTAAAATGTATTTTTCTAAGAATTTTTCACATGATCTGAATTTTTAAATTGTCATCATTTTGTTCTTAATATCCTCATATTATCTTAAGGTCTGTCAAACCTGTAACAAAGGCCCCTTTTTCATTTCTCTCTTTTCTTCTTTTGGCTGAGCCATGTGGCTTGTGGGATCTTAGTTCCCACCTGGGCGCTCGGCAGTGGGGGTGTGGAGTCCTAACCACTGGACCGCCAGGGAATTCCCCCCTTTTTCATTTCTGACATTGGTTATTTGTGTCCTCTTCCTTTTTTTCTTGATGAGTCTTGACAGGAGTTTATCTGTATTATTAATCTTTTCACAGAATCTGCTTTTGGCTTTGTTGGTGCTCTCTAGTTCATATATTTATTTTTAATTTAAATCTCTTCTTTATTATTACCTTCTTTCCTTGGATTTAATTTTCTGTTTTCTACCTTTTTGAATGTTTAGCTCACTGATTTTCAGCCTTTTCCCTTTACTGATATATGCACTGTTTCCCCAAAGCATGGCTATTTTGCTTTTTTCATTGATCTCAGATTATTTAGACGTTTAAAATTGTATTTTAAAATTTCTAAACATATGGGGATTTTTCTAGTTATCTTGCCTAATTGCAATTGGGTTGAGAACATATTTTATATGATTTCAGTCTTTGGAAATCTGTTTCGACTTTCTGGCTTGGCATATGGTCTATTGTTGTTCATGTGCCGTATGTGCTTGAATGCTTGGCTCGTGACGCATTATCGTAGCTTGGATTCCCCCAGAAACAGACTTTGAGACAAGGGTTTGGGAGATGATCCCAGAAAGCACTGGTAGAGCTGTGGGAAGTGAGGCAGGGAAGGGAAGGCAGCACATCAGAGGTGCATTTTCAAGCAAGGTATCACTGTGGGCAACAGCTTCATTCTCTGGGCAACTCTGGGAAGCAGTGGAAATAGACTTCCCACTCTCGGGGTGAGGGCATTTGTACACCCTTCATTTGGTTGAGGGCTGCTTAAGGGGATGGGTTTTTTGTTTTCTGTGGGGTCTTTTGTTTCTTTTAGTTTGGCCCGTGGGATTTTGGGTCCCTGGCCAGGGGTCGAACCCGTGCCCTCTGCAGTGGAAGCGCAGAGTGTTAACCACTGGACCGCCAGGGGAGTCCCAAGGGGATGGATTTTTAATTCGCTGCCACTTCCCGCTTGCCACACACATCAGGCAGAGTGGGCTCTGGTGGAGAGGGATCTCTCCAGCAAAGATCAGCCGCCTCGCCTGCTTCACCCACTGGGTTCACGTCTGTGGCCGCCACCTGTGGCCACAGCGGCCATCGCTCCCGTCTGTCATGGCTGCGTCAGCAGCAGCCAGCGTCATCCTGACACCTTTGCCGCCTGTCACTACTGATGCCATCACCTCATCCCACCATAGCCACCGTTGGTGGAGGTATTGAAATGACAAGAATGCCTTCAAAATGCTTGACTGCCTTCGCAAAGAATGGCTGCATTCAACCCAGGAGGCCAGTGAGAAGTGGTGGGCGTGAAGGTGGGGGGGAAGCCCTGGGAAGTGTGTGGGGAGGGACGGACAGCAGTGTTGGGGGGACGTGTGTGCACGCTGAAGGGGCTGAGTGAGCGGATAACGCTCAGGGTTCTGAGGAGGCAGAATTCCAGTCAAGGCTTCAGAGCCGCAGAGTTCGGCTCGGGCGGCAGATGGGCTTGGGCGGCTCCTTGGTGGGTGGTGGCAGTGGCCTGGCGGTTCCTCCTGGCCCTGTTAATGTCGGGGCCAGGCCCGGGGAGGATGGCGCCCTAGAGCCCAGCCTCGCTGGGGTAGGGGTGGGAGGGGACGTGATGGGGACCGGCCATGTCGGAGGTGACCCGAAGTCTGCCGCAGCGCTGGGGTGCCAGCTTTGGGAGAGGCTCCGACTTCGACTCTTGGGGCCAGCTGGTGGAGGCGATAGAGGAGCATCAGATATTAGCAAGACACCTACAAAAAGAGGCCCAAGCTCAGCACAGCAATTCTGAATTCACAGAAGAACAAAAGAAAACTATAGGCAAAATGGCGACATGCTTGGAATTACGAAGTGCAGCTTTACAGTCCACACGGTCCCAAGAAGAATTTAAACTGGAGGATCTGAAGAAGCTAGAACCAATCCTAAAGAATATTCTTACATATAATAAATTCCCATTTGATGTTCAGCCTGTCCCCTTAAGAAGAGTTTTAGCACCTGGTGAAGAAGAGAATTTGGAATTTGAAGAAGAGGGTGGTGCTAGAGCAGGGTCTCCTGATGCCTTTCCTGCTAAGAGTTTCCCGTACTTTATTACCAAGGTTGCCATCAGAACCAGGAGTGATGTTACTCATTATCAGAATTGAGAAAATTGGCCTGAAAGATGCTGGGCAATGCATTGATCCCTATATCACGGTTAGCGTAAAAGATCTGAATGGCATAGATTTAAGTCCTGTGCAAGAGACTCCAGTGGCTTCAAGAGAAGAAGATATGTATGTTCATTTTAATGTGGACATGGAGCTCCAGAAGCATGTTGAAAAATTAACCAAAGGTGCAGCTATTTTCTTTGAATTCAAACACTATAAGCCTAAAAAAAAGGCTTACCAGCACCAAGTGTTTTGCTTTCATGGACAAGGATGAAATTAAACCTGGGCCAATTGTAATAGAACTATACAAGAAACCCACTGACTTTAAAAGAAAGAAATTGCAATTGCTGACCAAGAAACCACTTTGTCTTCATCTGCATCAGACTTTGCCCAAGGAATGATCGTGACATGAATACCCTGGAACTTCTGTGAATCTTACCACTCAGTAGAAACCATCCTAGCTCCGTGTAGCCTATTCGCCCTTCAACAGGCAGGAAGCAAGCCGTACCCAGGCCAGCAGGCCAGAGTGGGTCCATTACACAGCTGTAGCACAGAATTCAAAGTCCAGCACGTCACTGATGTGAAAGGCTCCTCTGGATACAGGCTTATTGTAGATCTTGAAATGTTTTCACTTTTCTATTAATTGTGCAATGAATAGCCTCTTTTCTAACGTGCCACTACTCCTGCCCTGCTTCCTGGAACGACACTGTTGTGGGTGGAATGTGCTCACCTGCGCGCTTAATACAGCAATAAGAGTGTGCTAGAGTTTACACACCTGTCCACTTCTGCTCCAATATGCTCTTCGGTTTTTCAAGTTAATGTCAAACTTTGGGTTGATGTGGATAGGATAGTATGAAACTGCCTTTGAGAGGAATTGGACCAATTATGCTGCCCAAGGTCAGTCTGGAAATTTATAGGCTGCTCCTCGGAGACGGCCTTGATTCACCCTGATCTCATGGTTCTCCTGCTTAGAAACAGTGTGTCTTGGCCAAATCAGCATCCCATATGGGCGTGTTCACAGGTTGTAGCTGTGATTTTTCCAGATGACCAGATCGTTTTTCTGAAAGAGCATTTTTTTGTTTGTTTGTTTTGTTTTGTTTTGTTTTGCGGTACGCGGGCCTCTCACTGTTGTGGCCTCTCCCGTTGCGGAGCACAGGCTCCGGATGCGCAGGCTCAAAGGCCATGGCTCACGGGCCCAGCCGCTCCGCGGCATGTGGGATCCTCCCAGACCGGGGCACGAACCCGTGTCCCCTGCATCAGCAGGCGGACTCTCAACCACTGCGCCACCAGGGAAGCCCCTGAAAGAGCATATTTTTAGTCATGTTGATTAGCTTCTTTCTACATCACATCGTTACTCTTTCTGATAGTGATTCTGGGGTTAATGATGGAACCATCTCAGAATAATTACGAATTCTTGGTGGGTTTATAATGTCTTCTAAATAATGTAATCTAAAAATAATTTTACTTTTAGATTGTTAGTCAGATGCTAACAAGATACTGCAGGAATAACTGCTGTTTCTCTGACAACTGATTGTGAAACCTTAAAACCTGCCTACCTCTTCTTATAGCGGTGAGTACGCAAATCTGGAGATATTCTTTTTTTTTTTATATATAGGTAGATAGGATTGCCATTTATTTCCTATGTAGATATATTGCCATTCACATATGGAAATATGCAGGTCATGAGCTTTTTATAATTTGACTATTTACATTGTTTCAACTTGATAATGGGGCATAAATAAAACTTTCATTGTACACATGAGGTGGATACTTGATACGCAGAACATTAAGATTTGGGGTGGGAATTCTGTGGGTTAGATGTGGAGCCCACATATTTAATATTCACTATTTTAAATGACCAGTGCTAGCATGAGGGGAACGCAGTGCCAGTACTTGGCCTATTTTTAAACTCGTGTAATAAGCCTGGTCATACCGTTCAGCATGTTTGCTTTTTAAAGTAAGTAACCGCAGTCAAGCTCTAGCCCTTGCACTTCAAGAGATCTAGTCTCCACTTTCAGTTGTCTGTTAGGTCAGTTCTGTTTACTATGATGGATGTTAAAAAACTATATGAGCCTGAAGAATTCTCAACCAAACTCAGTCTTGCCTCTCTCTTGATTAGCTTAATTCCAAAATGATTCCATCCACAGTAGCTTGAGGGGATGAGGAATATGCCTTAATAAATTACTTTGTTGTTCACTCAACTCTTAGACTGTGAGTTGTCAGCCCCCGCCCCCCCCCGCCGCCGACCCCCAGACTGTAAGCTCCTCAGGGGGCAAGAACCACATGTTCGCCACATCACGTACATTTTCTGAGGTGCTTGGCAGCGCTCTGTACCCTGTGGAGCACTCGGTACCTTCTGTTTGATGTTGCTGACAAGACCTAAAACTAATCCCTTAAAAAACCTACCATTTGGTTTCCCTGGTGGCGCAGTGGTTGAGAATCTGCCTGCCAATGCAGGGGACACGGGTTCGAGCCCTGGTCTGGGAGGATCCCACATGCCGCGGAGCAACTAAGCCCGTGAGCCACAACTACTGAGCACGCGCGTCTGGAGCCTGTGCTCTGCAACGGGAAAGGCCACGACAGTGAGAGGCCCGCGCGCCGCGATGAAGCATGGCCCCCGCTTGCCGCAACTAGAGAAAGCCCTCGCACAGAAACGAAGACCCAACACAGCCAAAAATTAATTAATTAATTAATTTAAAAAAATAGTAGTACTTAAAAAAAAAAAAAAACCTACCATAAAAATGTAGCAAAACGGAAAAAAAAAAAAAAAAAAAGCCAGCCAAAGGTGTGTGGAGGTTAGGAGGCGGGGTATGTGAACCAGAAAGCAGAGTCTTCGAGGGTCATCATTTTCACCTTTGATGGCTGAACTGAGGATTTTGTGCTTGTCACTGAACATACTGACTTTGATGATAAAGATTATCACTATATTAATGGTAAGAAATATTTCAGTCAGCACTTACCTTCAAAGGGTAAGCACCTCATTTATACCATCAAAAACTTTCAGGCGGAATGTGTGCAAATAGAAGCCAGATCTCTAAAGAAATTAATAATCTTGAAAGAAAGTAAGCTAGCTTTTACCATAAAGTGTGCTGCTTTTCAAAAATCCTGCTGCCACACCCTAGACCAATTAAATCAGAATCTCCTGGGGTAAGACCCACACAGACATGGGTATTTTTTTTTAAATACCGATTTTAAATTTTATTTCAATATGCAACCAAGAACCACTGCCCTGGCGGAATTCCTCATTTTTGGTTGACTGCGTTTTGTAATATTAACTTGTTTGGAAATAAAGTTCTGAAAGTTGTTGACCCTATTTCTGCAGCCCCTGATGATCTAGAATTTACAGAGTCTGGGAGCCTATGAGTGTCACAATAGTATTTCTTTCTAACCCAATGAATATTTACCAGTGAGGTGGTGACATACGAAACAAGGTCAGATCCAAGTAATTTACATCCTTTCCTCCTTCTCTGATGGGCCAGAAATTATGGGATGCAAGGTGTGTCAGTTCAACTGGACAGAAGGAAAGGGTGTCACTCTAAAAAGCATTACGCAGCAAAAATGTCAAGGACGTGGACGAGTTTGTGCAATAAGGGGACCTGCCCTCCTGAGTCTTCCAAGGCCAGAGGCCTGGACACTGCTGCTGGGACCGTGCTGGCTGCAGAGTATGTCCAAAGTCAAATCTCTTACTTCCCCGGAGAAGACATTGAAGATAACACGGTGACCTCGATGCAGCAGTGTGAGGTGCTGGCGAGAAAAAGGGGGGAAATGCAAATCGGTAAAATGGAGAAAGAGAACAACTCCAAAGATTCTGTACCCAGCAGAGCGTGAGCCCCAGGGAACCAAGTCCAGGGAAGCATATTTACATATGTTCTTAAGACACGTAAAGGCAAGACTTTCAAAGAAGGCGGCAAATAAAATAGTACTAATTTAAATGGATATAACCTATACAGAATAAAAATGACAATGACCTGTTTCTTCCTGTCTGATGATACAGTAAAATAGTTTTGCTTTTTCTGTTTCCTTTTCCAGTAATAATCCTCTAAACTGCCTACAGTCTTTAGGATGTCTTATTTTCTTTCATTTAGTGGTAAAACTGAGAATCCTAATGATTCTATGTTCAATGCTTTTGTTGAGAGAATGTTTAGCTTGATGTCATCACGTTGGCCTGACACCAGGAATCAGTGTGATGTGTGCCTTCTGAGAGTAGAACTTCAAGGCAAAGTGAATTTTACGTAATAGAGTAAAAGTGATAAAACAAAACAAACAAACAAAAAACAAAAAATCCTCATTTAATTCTTCTTTACATTTCGAGAAAAGGAAAAGTGACCAAAATGCACATTATAAAAGCCTCAATATCACAGGTAAGTAAATCACATCTCTTTTTAGCAAAATGTGTCCAGGACACTTAGCAAGTAAGACCTTTCCGTTTTCTTTGGTAAGGAGCTTATGTACTGAATGGGATTTGCAAAATTTTACATTTGTGCTCTCTGCTGAATATGCAGGTAAATAAGCAAAGTCTAGTTTGTATTTGTATAAGAGATCAGCAATTTTTTGTTTTATGTTTTCTGCAACTTCAAGGCAACCTTCATAGAAATTAAGAAATGATTTGAAGCTCCAGTTTTCATTTAAAAAGTACCTAAGAGCTAGGGGAAACATTTGTTGTGGCTGCCATGCCTCAGTTGAGTCACTGTAGAAAGTATGATCATTGGTGAGATACGATGGAGTCAGCTTCGCACTGTAAGGGGCCAACACATCTGTTACGCTCTAGAGTTTACCCTTCTGTTGGCCCACAAGACACTTTAGTTGCAATATCTGAATGAGGAAATGTAATTCTACTCCGTTTCATAGAGCGGTCGAGGGAACAATACACTGATCGTACATGTTTGTGTCGATTCAATGGCTGCTGTTTTCAGCTGAGCTTTGGTGTCTTTTGGGGAGACAAACAAGCAAACGAACACACTGGCTTTTTTTTTAATATATAAATTTATTTTATTATTTATTTATTTATTTTTGGCTGCGTTGGGTCTTTGTTGCTGTGCGTGGGCTTTCTCTAGTTGCGGTGAGCTGGGGGCTACTCTTCGTTGCGGTGCATGGGCTTCTCGTTGCAGTTGTTTCACTTGTTGCAGAGCACGGGCTCTAGGCGCACGGGCTTCAGTAGTTGTGGCACGCGGGCTCATTAGTTGTGGCTCGCGGGCTCTAGAGCGCAGGCTCAGTAGTTGTGGCGCACCGGCTTAGTTGCTCTGCGGCGTGTGGGATCTTCCCGGACCAGGGCTCGAACCTGTGTCCCCTACATTGGCAAGCAGATTCTTAACCACTGCGCCACCAGGGAAGTCCCAACACACTGGCTTTTGATAGATTTAGGAGTACTTGCCTGTCTCATCCTGAACTTGTGAGATTCAATCTCCACATGTGCTTTCATATACTCTTTTCCACCATGTGCAATCCCCAGTTTTTTTCTGCATAGGGTGCAGTATGATATATTTTGGTTACTTACTTTCCTAATCCAGTTATATATGTCCTTCCATTTCTCATTAAAATAACATAAACATTTAGTCTGTGTTTTATGTGTTATCTGGGTCATGCTGGCATTGGTACTATAATTATTCTCATTTTCATTATCTGAACTCCTAGAAAACAAAGTCACGATATTCACAATGTTAAATATTAAACTATCACTGTCCCAGTCCAAAGTACAACAGTTAATCCACAGAGACAGAGTATTAACATACAACTACAATGTACTTGTTACACATTTAAGTTGCATCATTCAGAGTGATGCAGCGATGGAGGATTCAATACTCTGAGTCAAATTATACATTGGGAGGAAAACAACAACAACAATGGCAGGGAATTCCCTGCAGTCCAGTGGTTAGGACTTTGCGCTTCCACTGCAGGGGGCCCGGGTTCCATCCCTGGTCAGGGAACTAAGATTCCGCAAGCCGTGCTGCGCGGCCAAAAAAAAAAAGGCAGGTGGTTAACTTCTGAAATTTAATCTCCACTCAGACTTCTCTGCCAAACTCCAGATTTGCATATCAATTGCCTACTCGACTTTTTTTTTTTTTTTAATTACTACACTTACTTTATTTTA